TCTCTTCAGGGCATGCCATCATCCTGCGTTTCTGCTGATTTTACCGAAAACTCTGCTGCAGAAGAAGTCCAAGGAGCAGGTGTTGACGTTCTGAATGGCACTGTGACTGTGCCCCTGGCTCACCGCGAGACCTCGGGCAGAGCACATTTGGCCTCAATTTCCCTGTCTGCAACACAGCAATGACAATATATAGGAATGACCCAAAGGCAGTTCTCTGAAGGACACGGTGTCGCCATCCAAATGCTGAGAAATCATGAGCTCGATGGTAAAAACTATGATGCTGGCTTTTGCCAGTGAGGCAGTCATGTATTTTTAATGCTAACTACGTGCAGCTCTTTGGGCCTGTGTAGTACATATTTTCAAGCTCTCTCTCCTCCACACCTACAGGAGATTACTTCAAACCAACCCAGTCTACTGAATTCCGGGTCAGGTGGCCTTAAGAAAACCACATGAAGTTTATATAAAAGCTTACATAAAGTGCCAGTCTGGTTTCTGGCGCTGTGGAAGGTATAAACACCTTGTCCCTCATCTGAGCCCTCTGTTTAAGTGTATCTTCAGCATCTATCTCCTAATTGGTGTGCTGAGGCAGATCGTTGCCTGGTCCATGAATTAAGAACAACCTTGTTCTGTTACTCCAGCTATCCCTGCCCCCTTGGCTTGTTTGTTTGGAGCCTGAAGCTATGTCACAAGTGATGATATGATCATATCCTCCAGATTTTCTAAAACTTCCAGGTAAAGGCTCCAAGCTGTTTTCTAAGGCCTCCCTGGACTCTGGGGTCAGTGGCTGGATAGTTCATTACATTCATACTGGTAATTCCTTGCCTGCATTTTCCCTGACCAGTTTCCAGCCGTTCCTGTGTACATGAATAGAAAATGTGTCCCTGTCTGTCATTTGAAGTGACAGGCTGCATCCTAGGGGCTGTACACAGATGGAGTGGTACTTAGTTTACAGAGAAGGCTGAATGTACGCCACATGCGATTAGGATCACTTGAAACTAGGCTAATTACCTGGCAGACATAGCTGCAGAGCAGATTCTTTAATAAAAATGAATGGGATGACAAGGGATAGACTCCTTGCTATTCTGGGACAAAGTGTCTCCTCAGGCAGCAGATCGCCACAGCAGTAAGGCTCCCAATATATCACTTGGTTTGCTGTTTCTTGGCTGTAGAACTTAATTAACAGTTCTGGAACTGGTCTGTTTCCCAGGAATAGCCTGTGAATCCGTTAAATTAAACAACAAAGGCAGATGTGGGTAAAAATAAAAATCCCAGACAAGTTAGAAATGAAAAATGATGTTGCTTTGTCAATCCACAGGGGCCAGTGCAGGAATGTGCTAAAACCTTCTGAAGTTTTTCTGTGTAGCAGCTCAAGCAAGAGGGAAATGTTCCTGTGGATGCCACCGTTTTTGCAGCTGATGATTACTAATTACCCAACTGCTTGATTGCATAAAATAGTACAAACAAATACTGTGAAAACCGAGTTAAAACATGCTTATAAATATTTTTTCTCTTCAAGGTCTGAAAGTACAACACAGGGGTTTTTCATACCTGTGATTCAGACTGAAGATGACCACGAGCCTAGAAGAGCAGTGTTCTTAAGGACCTAAGCTCAGCCACCCAGAGTGCTCTGCCTCCTCAGCTTCCATGGATTTGAACTGTGAAGGAGCTCAAGATATTGTGGTGCTTGGTCTTTTACAGGGAAAGACAAGGATAAGGTAACACTCCTACCCTCTGCCTATCGTATAAACAACCAGAGCACCCTTTTTGATCGTTAACTCCCCCTCCCATCACTATTTTAGTGATGTATGTCTAAAGTATGCCTGTTCTTAACTTTACACAGCGCTTCCATTCATGTCAGCCTGCTCATAGTGAATAATGCAAAGGATACCTCTATGTCTTTGTAATATTAGTGTCTTACGAGGCTATTCAAGTTAAATAAATCCACGTGCAGGAGTAAGATGACCAGAATTTGATTCCATTGCAGCATAACTATTTCAAAAGAAGTAATTATTCTTTAAAAATGTAAATTTTTTTTCTTCAAAAATTCCAAGTGGGAGTTAATAATAATGCCAAACCCGATTTTGTGTAATGGCAATCAATCGCAGAAGGAGAATGTCTAAATATCTGAAAGAATGTGCTCATCTAAACTATCACTCGTTTTTAAGATGGCCAGTGAAACCATTTTATTACTCCATTTAGTTGGAAAGAGTGCTATTCTGCAAATATCAGATAATGTACTTATTTCTAAAAGCCTGGAACAAAAGAGCCAGTAGAGATTTGCTGAGTAGTTGCAAGATAGCCATTAAATATAAATATTTTTAAAAACAATTTACTCTTTCCTAATGCTTTTAGAGCAGCATGTGGGAACAGAGTCTAAGTGCAGCATCTAACTGCATTAAAAAGGACACGATGAAGGTTATTGGGCTCCAGATTTAACCCTTCTATCTCTTAAGTGCTCGTAACAGTTCCTAACCTATATAAACTATGTGAATTTATATAAAACTTACCCATCTTTCCTAGCAGTAACAATAAAAGTTTATATTTTTAAAACAACTATTCCCAGTGACCCACATTTTTCACATTCCTATAGAAACAAACTATTTTAATGGTGAATTCAAGACCAAGTTTCCATTCCTCACAAGAAAAATAGCAGCAGGACTGGAGATTGCTTTCTTTTCCTCCCCAGTATGCACCGTAGACAGAAAAGAGAATTGCTTTGTGGGGCTGTATGCGTATAAATGCTGTGAGTATTTATGTCACTGGTTTGAATTGAAATAGGTAGGCCAGTTAGAAAGAAGAGAGGCTGATTTTTGCTCCAAACTATCCGGGTTTTGCTCCAGTATAAGGAGTAACAGAATTTAATTCTGCTGTTTGGGAAGCGAAGTGTGGTTCAACGCCTTGATCCCAGCAGTGCACCTGGCAGGGAACAAGCCCCATGAGACCACTTCTCCAAACAGGGGGCCAATGACAAGGCTGATGCTACCAACAACGGCCTTTGTAAGGTGGCCCTCATGCTTAGGTCATCCTGAGGTAGACCTGCAGCAGCAACTGCATTGCATAGCACTTGGGTTGGGCTTCCCCTAGCTCCATACTGCACCTTCATAGCCCAAAGGCCTGAAGACAAAAGTGTTAATTTCTGTCGTGGCAGTTTTTCTGTTCAAAGTGCCCAAAAGCACAGGCAGGTATGCCAGCAGGGTGGTTTTTAGCATGATGCTGAAGATGCTCAGGAGTGTCAGGCAAGGCCTATGGGGACAGCATCAGGGCATGCAAAGGGCAGAGTGAGCCAAAGCTGGTGTGGATTCATCCATACCACCTGGGAGTGGAGATCCCTGGAGAGAACTGTCCCAGGACTTTACTGGGGATCTGATTCACTCCTGACAAGAGCTAAGGAATCAACTAACACTCGTACAGACAGAGAACCAAGGACACAGGAGCAAACACACCTTAAAAATGTCCTTCTTGATTCATGATACTTCCACATTTGGAGTTCTAGTAGCTGTAGGTAGGATTCATCTTCACTTTGAGGGTGGCAGAGCACTGGAACAGGCTGCCCAGGGAGGTGGTGGAGTCTCCATCTCTGGAGACATTCAAAACCCGCCTGGGTCCATTCCTGTGCAACCTGCTGTGGGTAGACCTGCCTCTGGGTGGACCTGCACTGGCAGAGGGGTTGGACTAGATGATCTCCAGAGGTCCCTTCCAGCTCCACAGCATTCTGTGATTCTGTGATCTAAGTCTGAACTAAGCACATTTGGCTACTTTTACTGTCAACAAAGGAAAAAAAGGCCCATCCACACAGTGATTCACCTGGTCTTTCTTAGATGCCTATTTAAGGATGGAATGGATGAGCCTTCATGATTTGGCCATGTGGAGCTTCAGAAAAAATGTCTTTGCTGAGTGGCCATCCCGTGTTGATGTGCATGGATTTATACTGAGGCTCGTATCATTCAGTATCGTCATCAATAATGAATCCCCAGCAAATCTGCAGATGATGAGAAATTGGGGAAATGGCTGACATGACCAAACAATCCAGCTTCAATCCAGAAGAACCATAGTCTAAGGAGAAATGCAAGGTTCTGCACCTGGAGAAGAATAACCCCGAGCACCAGTACAGGCTGGGAGCTGACTGGCAGAGCAGGAGTCTTGCTGAAACCAGGCTTCAGTGGATGCCCAGCTGAACGCCAGCCAACAGTGCACTCTCATCTCAAAGAAGACAAGATGCACACTGAGCAATGGGCAGGGAGCAGCCAGCAGATGCAGGGAATATTTTGTTCTCCTCCGCTCAGCACTGGTGAGGCCATATTTGGAATACAGTCCAGTTTTGGCACAACCGGTACAAAAGGGATGTGAAGAAGCTGGAGTTGGTCCACTGGAGGGCTACCAAGCTGGTTACCTACAGAACATGATCTACAAGGAGACTGGAGGAAGCTGGACTTGTTCAGTCTGGCGCAGCGGAGTCTAACTGTGGTCCAACTGCAGCCTGCGAGCACTTGAAGAGTTAGAAAGGTAACACAGAGACGCAGTTTTCTCAATAATGTCAGATAATGTAACAAGGGGCAATGGCCAAAAAACTGCTGCTTTCAGGCTGGAAATTAAGAATGGTGGGGTTTTTTCACCAGCTCTGTGACAGATCACCCAGAGGAGCAGCTGAATCCCTGTTGATGGAGCTTGGGCAAGGCCTTACACCCACAAGTGACCTGTTCCAGTGTCGGTAAAAGCCCGGCTTTGAGCACAAGGATGGACCTTCCGACTAACACATCTAAGAATCTGTGATAAACTGAAGATGTACAACCCGAAAACTACAGCTGGGTCAAAACACTGCCAGGTGAGGATCTCTGCTGAAGCCCACTGGTGGTGGCTTTTGCAGTGTGCCCTTTTGAAACACCCCCAAGCCATGCTCGGCCTCACTGGGGTCAACAACAAAAGTCTCTAAAGCTGGGACAAGTCTTGAATTGATGGTGGAAAAACAGGATTTGCCGAAGGAGACAACAAACTAATCATACACACAGTTCATAAGCAGATTTATTCATAAGGAGCAATGGACTACTGTGATAGCCTGTAACACATGAACAGTATGGGAATCCATTGTGATATGTTCTATCATCACCTTTGGGGTGTATCCCAGCCCTTTAATTCTCTATTAATAGCAAGAAATGGAAATTCTTATCCAGAACTCAGGGCACAGGTACTGAACAGGGTGATGTGAGCTCTTTCCCTGTGATTCCCCAAGAAACTCGGGACATATTAAACAGATCTTTACAGCAGAGTTCCTTCTAAAACCATAGATTAAATTAATTGCTGAAAAAAAAAAACCCATTTGGTTTGATTTTTCATAACGTATTATATGCTTAGAATGAATTTATTGTGGCTTTGGCATGTGTAAGAAGAGAAATTTAGCTTTTGGTAAGAACAAAAGTACAGTTCCTAAAGGCAACTATGTGGAGAATCATAAAGCACAGGTGAGGTTAGCTTAGAACCAGGATTCATTTCTTCTTATCCTGAGAGTGTGACCAGACAGGCTTACGTTTCTGAATAAAGGCTTCAATACCCTCCTGCCCATCTCTCAAAGTCAAATTGTCTGTCATGACCTGAGTAGTCATTTTGTAAGCAGTATCGATGTCCTGTGTCATCTGTCTGTAAAAGGTGGCTTTCCCCAGTGCCAGGACGGATTTGCTGCTTTCGCATATCTTTTTAGAGATTTTCATGGTCTCTTCTTCCAGCTTGTCTTCTGGTACCACCTTGCTGATGAGCCCATGCATTAATGCTTCTTGGGCAGAAAGAGGTTCACCCGTGAAAAGCATCTCTAATGCCACCTGAACAAGAAAAAAATATTGTATTAAGTAATTTTAACTGCCTTATTGCTTTAGTTTGTTTGGGGAATTTCAGCTTCTTCCTTCAAGTACAAGCTACTCTTTTGAAAAACGTCAGATTTAAATCTTTTGGCCTCTTAAACTGCCAAGGAAGTTAAGAGGTTTCAGCAAAGAGAAGGACTGGGTTTAAAGCTGGCCTTTTTGCAAACCTTCCCACTGACTGTGGCTGTCCTGGGCTGACACCTCTGGGTTTCTTCTCAACAGCCCCAAATCTCTAGCGATTGCAGTAGGAATTACGAGAGATGTGGACGGTTCACAATGTCAAATGACTGAATTTGGTATTTTAAGCTGGGCACATAAATACTTACTACGTCAATGTGTAGTTTTTTAAAATACCTGCCTTAGTTTAAGGTTGGTTTTTTTAAATACGGCCTTCTTATAGCCACATCTATTTCAGTCTCTTGCTGCTTCCAGTATCTTGTACTTGAGGTTTCAGATTAAAGTCCCCCAAATATTCAGTGACTATGCAATGTTAAATATCAGTAAGAATTTTTTTCCTTGACTCCTGATACAATTGACTGATACCCTGAGTCATACCAGCTGATTATTCTCATTAGTATCTTTGCTCTGGTAGATACAAACAATGGCCATTTTTCATTTGATAAAAAGTAAGATCAGAAATCCTGAGATCTGTAGGGAATGTTCTTGCTACTTCGAAAAGTGGCACAGAGAAAAGTATATCCCACACATGTTAAAGTCCCCCAAATACTCAGTGACTATTCAATGTTAAATATCAGTAAGAATTATTTTCCTTGACTCCTGATACAACTGACTGATACCCTGAGTCATACCAGTTGATTATTCTCATTAGTATCTTTGCTCTGGTAGATACAAACAATGGCAATGTTTCATTTGACAAAAAGTAAGATCAGTAACCCTGAGATCTGCAGGGAATGTTCTTGCTACTTCGAAGAGTGGCACAGAGAAAAGTATATCCCACACATTTTGAAAAGGTAACCATAAAACCCAGATACTAATTCAGAAACAGCTAGAACTGTACACTACACTTCAAAAAACCCCAACACCACGGACAGACTATATTGGAACAGGATGGCCTTACAGATGGACAATTTAAAGTTGAAGCTTTTATCCAACAATTGGACTTGTGCAGTTAAGTCCCTGTGTCTCAGCAGAGCCCTGCTGGGCTTGGAGGGTCTGTCCACATGAATCCAGCTAGATCAGAACTTAAAACTTCTGTTCTCAGTTAGGGAAGCTTTACAGATTTACCATTGTTTATGTAGTGAGGGATGTGTAGTCACAATCAGTAGGAAATAAAGCGGGAAGAAAGTATAGGAGGGTTTTAGATGCTATTTAAAGCATCTTGATCTACACTCAGGCAGATCATGCTGGCAGTGAAATGTCACTGCCTGGCAAGAGTTGATACCTTGGTGGGACTGATATCCTCAACTTGCAGGGGTTTCCTCACCAGGGGACAACATCATTGTCTAAAGCACAGACCTGTCTGTTGGAAAGGAAAGGGATTGCTGAGCTGGTGTGCTGCTGGTTTGAGTTCATGCTGGTTGGAATCGCATCAGCAGGAAGCTGCTTTCCCTAAACAGAGTTCATCCCTTTATTATTTTTCCCAGTACAAAGAGTTATGAAGATGTCTTTCACAATGAAGTATTTTGAGTGCAGGAAAATAAAGCTTAGGCAATGGAACTAAAACTCCAACCATGGGAACCTTCTTCTTGCAAAATGACAAAGAGCATCTGGGAAGGAAGCCTACCTTTCTTGGAAGAGACCTGCCCAAGGCCACAGCTGGTGTGGAGCAAAACAGTCCGATGTTTGCTCCAGGAGTAGCAAACTGAGATTTCTCACTTGCCACTGCAATGTCACAGCTTGCCACAAGCTGACAGCCTGCTGCTGTAGCCAAACCGTTGACTTTGGCAATCACTGGTACTGGAAGTTTCTGGATTAAAGTCATAACCTGCACACACAAAAGAAAGCAGTCACTTAGTCCCTGAAATTTAAGCAGTGGCTGTTCTAAAGCTTGCAATCACAGGCTTCACACACCTGGTGGGTGCACTTTTCATCTTTATTAACTGGATTTTAGTAAAAGAAGCAAGCTCTCTGCAAAACGTGTTTAAAATGCACAAGACCACTGCTGCTCCTGTAGCTGCTCAGTTGTGTTGAAGTAGCATAAGCTGGTCCTGCTAATGCTGGTGGAAATGGAAAACACAAGAATGAAAGGCAGAAAAACTCATTATCAGATCTGCAAGGAGCCTGGGTGCCTCTGCACTGCAGCTCTAGGGTTCCTGGCTGTGGAAAGATGGGAAGACACACCATCCCCGCCTTCATTTGCCCCATAAATGAAAAAGAACTAAATAAAAGTCTGTCCCAAGAAAGTAAACCAGCCTTTTGCTGGTTTGGATGAGATCAACCCAGGTTCAAGATCACGCAGAATTAATAACTATTCATTAATCCTGATTATAGCCATAATGGTAGATATAGATACAGGACAATTTAAATTCTTCTGGTGCTTAAAGTAAGAAATTTACCAGCTCTTCATTTCACACTATATGGAATAAGTTGCACATTTTTTCTGTCCGATCTTTCCTATTCTGTGACCCAGAAGCTGCATGGTTCAGTTTTCCACTGACAACATACTGGTGTTCTCCCCTGTAACGGCAAAATTAATATTAAACTGTTAGCTGCTGAACTCTTGGACCTTGGCTCCTTTCTGATGAAGCCTGTCATTCAGTCCTATTTGTGCTTACTTCTCTGTGATCAGCACACCAAGATGAAATCCAGGCAAAGGTGCCAGGATCATTTGATTTATATTACACTGAAGGCCCTTCAGCAGTAACTTTCACGCATGGCTTTTACAGCATTTGTTAAATAAGGGGTTGACAATGTGCAGAGATATCATTATTACTGGAGGAACTAGAACAAAAGGTTTCAAATGACTTTCTGTGGTCACACTGAGCAGGATTAGGGGTCAAATTCTAGTGCTGTTACAATCAAAGAGGGGTTTTGCCATTCTCTCCAAAGGCTCCAGGATTCACGTTTACTTCCGAACCTCCAGGTCTGTGTCTTTGTTACAGGAACCTGTATATAATCTGCTGACTGGGCAGCCAGCAAGGCAGACCTTACTTTTACACTGTCTACTTGATGTTTAAGCTGGTCTTGAGTTATTAGCTACGTGCTGGGAAAGAACATTTGACCACGGGTGATTTGAAGGTGGTTATCCTTAGATTTCTGGGAAAGACATTGCCCAAATACTCAGCTGCAAGGAAGAGTTGGCTAAACCAAGGAACATGCCATGACTGTACCCACTGTAGGAGACGTGCACATTGGCATTCTAGCCCTTTCATTTGCATGTAGAGAAATCCAGGGAAAATATAATTTCACCAGAATCAGGTATTAAAAATTGGCAGAGCAGCAAAAAGCAAGGAATCTGGAGCAACTGCCTGTGCTTTGGCTGACACGTGAGCAGTGCTGTCCCTCCTTAAACCAGTATCTTTGTTGCTCTTAATACCAGGCAAAAGAGGTGGCATTTAAGAAGAACTGCTTACCTCTGCACATATTTCAAATACTTGGGAATGATGCTTCACATCTTCTTCACTTGTCAGTTCCTTTAAATCATGGCCGGAACAAAATACAGGTCCTTCAGCTGCAAAGAATTTCAGGAAAAGCCAGTTTGAGTTAATGAAGAAACCAGGGGCAGCGTCGTATCAGTGCCCCAGCTAAAGGTACCTCAGTGAGATGTCAATGGTCAAAAAGGAGCTTGGGGAGGGAGTTTTAACACAGAGTTCCCAAACATTGCTTTCTGGGTTTTGTAACAACTTTACCTTGCCACAAGGCAACATTTAACCACAGGAACACCCACAAACATTTTTAAAGGGCTAGTTTTACTTCCATTCCAAGTTAATTCAGTTAAAAACAGCCTGGTTTCTTGCAAGCATACTGTTCTAAACAGCTCCTGGGTACAACGCAAACTAGTCAGCTGCAGCAAGGATGGAGTGCTCTGCTCTCAGATGAGTAAATACAATTAGTCCCTATTTACTGTATCCAGCATTAATGATTAACTTTTGCGAAATAAACATCAAGATTTTTGTGTCATGGTGTTCAAGGCCACAATAGAAAGAAAAAGAAAAAAAAAAGAAAACACATTGTTCTGCTAGAGGAAAACCAGAAGGGTTGTTGGGGCATCTTTTCCTCCGCTGCTAAAACTGTCATCTACAGAATCCCAGAAAGCATGTCCAGGGTTTGGGCAGCAAAAGAGCAGGTTTCTGCAGACATAAGTTTTGGATTTTCTTCTCTCCAGTCACAGCTAAGGTCAAAACACCCCTTATGGGTATACTATCTTTACAACAGCTTTCCTTTCTCATGAGGGTATCTGCCATAAGAATAAACTGATGTGATGCTTCCAAATCCTTCACAACTTCTCACATATTTGTACGGACATGGCATTTCCAGCTACAACTACGCAGACACAACCTCAGCTATGCATTTGTTTCTTACAGACCAGATTATTCTGGCACACTCTATCCAGAAATAAACACCTGGAAATTAATTGCATCTGTATTTGTGTCTCATTGAAGAAGAATCCACTGCAAAGTCTGTGTTAAAGACTCAAAGCATTCCCTGGGAAGTCTTTTATTTTCTTGAAATTTATTCTTTTGCATTCCATTCAGCAAGGGAATTGGAAATCAAGAGGAACGTGCAATTTCTTTTTAAATTAAAACAAAAACCCAAATGAAATTGTGCTTGCAAACTCCCAGACTACTGCACTCCCAAAGAAGAACCTGAAGTGCTTCTCAAAACTGCTGTTTGAAACATTGACTATATATATTTAAACTCAGCCCTGTGAAGTTTGCTTACTTCCACTCCTATGTGGGTGTGAACTAACACACAGTGTTTTCCTCTACATACAGGGAACAGCAGCATCCTAAATTAATAAACCTATTTCTCCAAGATGTTTGGAAGGGGGGCAGAGGAAGATTATCTTAAAATAGCAGAGGAAAGAAAAGATGGCTTAAGAACAGCATAAGTTTTATTATCTTTAAGAACTCTACGGGTTAATACCTAAATGGAAGAAAACTGTCACAGACTCCAAGAGAGAATGCTTTACGTCTGCAGGTCACGGGTGACTGCAGAATCGCTACGATGGTCTCTCCTTCATCACAGAGGTTTAAAAACACTTTTGACAAAGCAGTGGTAAAGATACTGGGGCTGATCCTGGCTTAGAGCAGGGGAACAGAGCTCACGATTTGAAGAAACCCTGTGAGCCCTGTTCACTGCCATCTAAACCTGCCACCCAAGGCAACAAGTGTCACACCAGCTCAGCCTGTCCCTGCACAGAAACCTGCACCTGGGAACGTTATTCCTTTAGTTTGGTAACCATTAGAGCCTGGCTTTTGCCCTCTTTATTCTTTACATAAAGCTTTTAAACCTATTATTTTCCCTACTGATTGTTTTTACAGAAGGACAGAGCTCATCGACTCTGTAAACTCTCTGCGTAACCCGCCTGCAACACCGACATTTCGAACTGTGTGTTTCTACAGTGTTTCTTCTTAACACATGTTAACTAACAAGAAAAATACAACAAAACCCAAGTCAGTTGTTAATTCCGTGTTCAAGGATGAGGATTTAAGTACATGAGAGTGGAAACTGGGATGAGTATAAAAGGGCAGCACATGAGAGAGAGCCAGGGGTGGCGGGTGAAGGCACCAGGAGGGTCCCCTGTGCCACAACAGGCAGTCCTGTCCCATCTTCTGTAATTCTGTGAGGGATTTCGGGTTTAAACTCCGTATTATCCCCTTTCTGCTCCTTCTCTCGCCCCCTCTGCCTTCCCTTCCGTCGGCTTGAAATGACGAAGTACCTGAAATGATGATAACTCGGAGCTCTTTGCTCTTGACGTCGTGCAGCAGGTCCTCCCTGAGGGACTGCAGCATGGCCAGGGACAGGGCGTTTCTCTTCCTGGGGTTGTTCAGGACAATGTTTCTGTAGAAACCGTTAAAGACAAAGACAGCATGTGTAAGAAGAGAAATTTAGCTTTTGGTAAGAACAAAAGTACAGTTCCTAAAGGCAACTATGTGGAGAATCATAAAGCACAGGTGAGGTTAGCTTAGAACCAGGATTCATTTCTTCTTATCCTGAGAGTGTGACCAGACAGGCTTACGTTTCTGAATAAAGGCTTCAATACCCTCCTGCCCATCTCTCAAAGTCAAATTGTCTGTCATGACCTGAGTAGTCATTTTGTAAGCAGTATCGATGTCCTGTGTCATCTGTCTGTAAAAGGTGGCTTTCCCCAGTGCCAGGACAGATTTGCTGCTTTCGCATATCTTTTTAGAGATTTTCATGGTCTCTTCTTCCAGCTTGTCTTCTGGTACCACCTTGCTGATGAGCCCATGCATTAATGCTTCGTGGGCAGAAAGAGGTTCACCCGTGAAAAGCATCTCTAATGCCACCTGAACAAGAAAAAAATATTGTATTAAGTAATTTTAACTGCCTTATTGCTTTAGTTTGTTTGGGGAATTTCAGCTTCTTCCTTCAAGTACAAGCTACTCTTTTGAAAAACGTCAGATTTAAATCTTTTGGCCTCTTAAACTGCCAAGGAAGTTAAGAGGTTTCAGCAAAGAGAAGGACTGGGTTTAAAGCTGGCCTTTTTGCAAACCTTCCCACTGACTGTGGCTGTCCTGGGCTGACACCTCTGGGTTTCTTCTCAACAGCCCCCAATCTCTAGCGATTGCAGTAGGAATTACGAGAGATGTGGACGGTTCACAATGTCAAATGACTGAATTTGGTATTTTAAGCTGGGCACATAAATACTTACTACGTCAATGTGTAGTTTTTTAAAATACCTGCCTTAGTTTAAGGTTGGTTTTTTTAAATATGTCCTTCTTATAGCCACATCTATTTCAGTCTCTTGCTGCTTCCAGTATCTTGTACTTGAGGTTTCAGGTTAAAGTCCCCCAAATACTCAGTGACTATTCAATGTTAAATATCAGTAAGAATTATTTTCCTTGACTCCTGATACAACTGACTGATACCCTGAGTCATACCAGTTGATTATTCTCATTAGTATCTTTGCTCTGGTAGATACAAACAATGGCAATGTTTCATTTGACAAAAAGTAAGATCAGTAACCCTGAGATCTGCAGGGAATGTTCTTGCTACTTCGAAGAGTGGCACAGAGAAAAGTATATCCCACACATTTTGAAAAGGTAACCATAAAACCCAGATACTAATTCAGAAACAGCTAGAACTGTACACTACACTTCAAAAAACCCCAACACCACGGACAGACTATATTGGAACAGGATGGCCTTACAGATGGACAATTTAAAGTTGAAGCTTTTATCCAACAATTGGACTTGTGCAGTTAAGTCCCTGTGTCTCAGCAGAGCCCTGCTGGGCTTGGAGGGTCTGTCCACATGAATCCAGCTAGATCAGAACTTAAAACTTCTGTTCTCAGTTAGGGAAGCTTTACAGATTTACCATTGTTTATGTAGTGAGGGATGTGTAGTCACAATCAGTAGGAAATAAAGCGGGAAGAAAGTATAGGAGGGTTTTAGATGCTATTTAAAGCATCTTGATCTACACTCAGGCAGATCATGCTGGCAGTGAAATGTCACTGCCTGGCAAGAGTTGATACCTTGGTGGGACTGATATCCTCAACTTGCAGGGGTTTCCTCACCAGGGGACAACATCATGGTCTAAAGCACAGACCTGTCTGTTGGAAAGGAGAGGGATTGCTGAGCTGGTGTGCTGCTGGTTTGAGTTCATGCTGGTTGGAATCGCATCAGCAGGAAGCTGCTTTCCCTAAACAGAGTTCATCCCTTTATTATTTTTCCCAGTACAAAGAGTTATGAAGATGTCTTTCACAATGAAGTATTTTGAGTGCAGGAAAATAAAGCTTAGGCAATGGAACTAAAACTCCAACCATGGGAACCTTCTTCTTGCAAAATGACAAAGAGCATCTGGGAAGGAAGCCTACCTTTCTTGGAAGAGACCTGCCCAAGGCCACAGCTGGTGTGGAGCAAAACAGTCCGATGTTTGCTCCAGGAGTAGCAAACTGAGATTTCTCACTTGCCACTGCAATGTCACAGCTTGCCACAAGCTGACAGCCTGCTGCTGTAGCCAAACCGTTGACTTTGGCAATCACTGGTACTGGAAGTTTCTGGATTAAAGTCATAACCTGCACACACAAAAGAAAGCAGTCAGTTAGTCCCTGAAATTTAAGCAGTGGCTGTTCTAAAGCTTGCAATCACAGGCTTCACACACCTGGTGGGTGCACTTTTCATCTTTATCTCGCTTCCCACACCTGGTGGGTGCACTTTTCATCTTTATTAACTGGATTTTAGTAAAAGAAGCAAGCTCTCTGCAAAACGTGTTTAAAATGCACAAGACCACTGCTGCTCCTGTAGCTGCTCAGTTGTGTTGAAGTAGCATAAGCTGGTCCTGCTAATGCTGGTGGAAATGGAAAACACAAGAATGAAAGGCAGAAAAACTCATTATCAGATCTGCAAGGAGCCTGGGTGCCTCTGCACTGCAGCTCTAGGGTTCCTGGCTGTGGAAAGATGGGAAGACACACCATCCCCGCCTTCATTTGCCCCATAAATGAAAAAGAACTAAATAAAAGTCTGTCCCAAGAAAGTAAACCAGCCTTTTGCTGGTTTGGATGAGATCAACCCAGGTTCAAGATCACGCAGAATTAATAACTATTCATTAATCCTGATTATAGCCATAATGGTAGATATAGATACAGGACAATTTAAATTCTTCTGGTGCTTAAAGTAAGAAATTTACCAGCTCTTCATTTCACACTATATGGAATAAGTTGCACATTTTTTCTGTCCGATCTTTCCTATTCTGTGACCCAGAAGCTGCATGGTTCAGTTTTCCACTGACAACATACTGGTGTTCTCCCCTGTAACGGCAAAATTAATATTAAACTGTTAGCTGCTGAACTCTTGGACCTTGGCTCCTTTCTGATGAAGCCTGTCATTCAGTCCTATTTGTGCTTACTTCTCTGTGATCAGCACACCAAGATGAAATCCAGGCAAAGGTGCCAGGATCATTTGATTTATATTACACTGAAGGCCCTTCAGCAGTAACTTTCACGCATGGCTTTTACAGCATTTGTTAAATAAGGGGTTGACAATGTGCAGAGATATCATTATTACTGGAGGAACTAGAACAAAAGGTTTCAAATGACTTTCTGTGGTCACACTGAGCAGGATTAGGGGTCAAATTCTAGTGCTGTTACAATCAAAGAGGGGTTTTGCCATTCTCTCCAAAGGCTCCAGGATTCACGTTTACTTCCCAACCTCCAGGTCTGTGTCTTTGTTACAGGAACCTGTATATAATCTGCTGACTGGGCAGCCAGCAAGGCAGACCTTACTTTTACACTGTCTACTTGATGTTTAAGCTGGTCTTGAGTTATTAGCTACGTGCTGGGAAAGAACATTTGACCACGGGTGATTTGAAGGTGGTTATCCTTAGATTTCTGGGAAAGACATTGCCCAAATACTCAGCTGCAAGGAAGAGTTGGCTAAACCAAGGAACATGCCATGACTGTACCCACTGTAGGAGACGTGCACATTGGCATTCTAGCCCTTTCATTTGCATGTAGAGAAATCCAGGGAAAATATAATTTCACCAGAATCAGGTATTAAAAATTGGCAGAGCAGCAAAAAGCAAGGAATCTGGAGCAACTGCCTGTGCTTTGGCTGACACGTGAGCAGTGCTGTCCCTCCTTAAACCAGTATCTTTGTTGCTCTTAATACCAGGCAAAAGAGGTGGCATTTAAGAAGAACTGCTTACCTCTGCACATATTTCAAATACTTGGGAATGATGCTTCACATCTTCTTCACTTGTCAGTTCCTTTAAATCATGGCCGGAACAAAATACAGGTCCTTCAGCTGCAAAGAATTTCAGGAAAAGCCAGTTTGAGTTAATGAAGAAACCAGGGGCAGCGTCGTATCAGTGCCCCAGCTAAAGGTACCTCAGTGAGATGTCAATGGTCAAAAAGGAGCTTGGGGAGGGAGTTTTAACACAGAGTTCCCAAACATTGCTTTCTGGGTTTTGTAACAACTTTACCTTGCCACAAGGCAACATTTAACCACAGGAACACCCACAAACATTTTTAAAGGGCTAGTTTTACTTCCATTCCAAGTTAATTCAGTTAAAAACAGCCTGGTTTCTTGCAAGCATACTGTTCTAAACAGCTCCTGGGTACAACGCAAACTAGTCAGCTGCAGCAAGGATGGAGTGCTCTGCTCTCAGACGAATAAATACAATTAGTCCCTATTTACTGTATCCAGCATTAATGATTAACTTTTGCGAAATAAACATCAAGATTTTTGTGTCATGGTGCTCAAGGCCACAATAGAAATAAAAGAAAAAAAAAGAAAACACATTGTTCTGCTAGAGGAAAACCAGAAGGGTTGTTGGGGCATCTTTTCCTCCGCTGCTAAAACTGTCATCTACAGAATCCCAGAAAGCATGTCCAGGGTTTGGGCAGCAAAAGAGCAGGTTTCTGCAGACATAAGTTTTGGATTTTCTTCTCTCCAGTCACAGCTAAGGTCAAAACACCCCTTATGGGTATACTATCTTTACAACAGCTTTCCTTTCTCATGAGGGTATCTGCCATAAGAATAAACTGATGTGATGCTTCCAAATCCTTCACAACTTCTCACATATTTGTACGGACATGGCATTTCCAGCTACAACTACGCAGACACAACCTCAGCTATGCATTTGTTTCTTACAGACCAGATTATTCTGGCACACTCTATCCAGAAATAAACACCTGGAAATTAATTGCATCTGTATTTGTGTCTCATTGAAGAAGAATCCACTGCAAAGTCTGTGTTAAAGACTCAAAGCATTCCCTGGGAAGTCTTTTATTTTCTTGAAATTTATTCTTTTGCATTCCATTCAGCAAGGGAATTGGAAATCAAGAGGAACGTGCAATTTCTTTTTAAATTAAAACAAAAACCCAAATGAAATTGTGCTTGCAAACTCCCAGACTACTGCACTCCCAAAGAAGAACCTGAAGTGCTTCTCAAAACTGCTGTTTGAAACATTGACTATATATATTTAAACTCAGCCCTGTGAAGTTTGCTTACTTCCACTCCTATGTGGGTGTGAACTAACACACAGTGTTTTCCTCTACATACAGGGAACAGCAGCATCCTAAATTAATAAACCTATTTCTCCAAGATGTTTGGAAGGGGGGCAGAGGAAGATTATCTTAAAATAGCAGAGGAAAGAAAAGATGGCTTAAGAACAGCTCAAGTTTTATTATCTTTAAGAACTCTACGGGTTAATACCTAAATGGAAGAAAACTGTCACAGACTCCAAGAGAGAATGCTTTACGTCTGCAGGTCACGGGTGACTGCAGAATCGCTACGATGGTCTCTCCTTCATCACAGAGGTTTAAAAACACTTTTGACAAAGCAGTGGTAAAGATACTGGGGCTGATCCTGGCTTAGAGCAGGGGAACAGAGCTCACGATTTGAAGAAACCCTGTGAGCCCTGTTCACTGCCATCTAAACCTGCCACCCAAGGCAACAAGTGTCACACCAGCTCAGCCTGTCCCTGCACAGAAACCTGCACCTGGGAACGTTATTCCTTTAGTTTGGTAACCATTAGAGCCTGGCTTTTGCCCTCTTTATTCTTTACATAAAGCTTTTAAACCTATTATTTTCCCTACTGATTGTTTTTACAGAAGGACAGAGCTCATCGACTCTGTAAACTCTCTGCGTAACCCGCCTGCAACACCGACATTTCGAACTGTGTGTTTCTACAGTGTTTCTTCTTAACACATGTTAACTAACAAGAAAAATACAACAAAACCCAAGTCAGTTGTTAATTCCGTGTTCAAGGATGAGGATTTAAGTACATGAGAGTGGAAACTGGGATGAGTATAAAAGGGCAGCACATGAGAGAGAGCCAGGGGTGGCGGGTGAAGGCACCAGGAGGGTCCCCTGTGCCACAACAGGCAGTCCTGTCCCATCTTCTGTAATTCTGTGAGGGATTTCGGGTTTAAACTCCGTATTATCCCCTTTCTGCTCCTTCTCTCGCCCCCTCTGCCTTCCCTTCCGTCGGCTTGAAATGACGAAGTACCTGAAATGATGATAACTCGGAGCTCTTTGCTCTTGACGTCGTGCAGCAGGTCCTCCCTGAGGGACTGCAGCATGGCCAGGGACAGGGCGTTTCTCTTCCTGGGGTTGTTCAGGACAATGTTTCTGTAGAAACCGTTAAAGACAAAGACAGTCTGTATAAAAGTAGTAATAAACGCGTTCACAGCCCCAGGGACGGTCCCGCAGCGCTGCTCCCCCTCACACCCCCCCCGCCTCGC